AATACATAGTTTCTAAGACCTGGGACACTCATCGTAAAGAAATATCACTGATGGTCTGCAATAATTTGAAAAATGGCATCCTAATATGACCAGGGTTAAAAAAAAATCTCCTCCCTCCTGCTCACACATACACGCACGCACTTTCTGTGCAAATAAGCCAGATTACGAAAGGTGGGAAATTGCCGCATCGCAGGAAAGATGGAAGAGGAAAACATTTCCCTGAGACTTGGACAATAAGTTTTATCTTGTCAAAAAGCCGAGCAGGGTTGATGGGAAGATAAGTTCCACGTAGATCTGTTTTTGTTCTCGCAATCATGCCATTGAACACGAATTCTGGCTGGTAATGATAGAATTAATTTGACGTAAAAGTGTCGCGATTTTATTTTAAATTTCCCTGCTGTACAATGAATGGTGAACGAAGAGCATGCTGTGAATGAAATAATATTATTTTCTCTGATTATGCTTAACGTCAATGTAATATAGTCGATGCTTGGTTTCCTGTGCATGCTTGGAAATGGCCTGAATAAACATTTGAAAGTTGCATGAAACAATTGCAGATGATGATAAGAGAGCTTCAGCTGCGGTCTTTCAGACCGTAGATGGAATTTGAGGCTTTTTCCACGATCACCGAGATTGCATTGTCTGATCTCATCTTTTCCCATCCCTCCACCTCGAAAAAATGCGGGGAATCCTATATATCATTCAAATTTCTTTCTGCAAGCTCCAAGACTGCCGCTAACTAAATAACTAATGTCGCGCTTTTTTAAAATTTTTTACTGACATTAGTGACATTCTGCGAAATTTGTGAAAATTCCTCCTTCAACTTGAAGAGACTACAAGAAACTCCATCGGCAGCACAAAGCCAAAAGACGTTGTGACGATACCGTAAGGTGCCAATCATGCGAGGGCTTTAATCAATACCTTTGGAATTTTTTTGGTTTTTTTTTCCTCGTCGAATTTTTAGGCGGACATTTCAACAAAGTCTGAGATAAAGACCTATTTGTATGTTTATGTCTTAATGGGACCTTGTCAAAGGCTTCTCTTTAGTCGTTCGTTTGTTTTTTTTTTTTGAGAAAGAAGAAGAAAAAAAAGGGGGAAATGGGAGATTAAAGTAAGAACTCCATCCTCATTTGGACAATGAAATCCGGTTCGGGAGGTGAGAGGAAAAGGGGCTTGTGGCATATGGTAGGTTCCATTAAAGTCGAGCGGAAAGCAAGAAAAAACCCTCTCATCACGAACGTGTCTTGGCTCATGAGGAGTAGTCAAGGTCGGTTCGAACCGGTGGTGTGCCTCAAGGTCCCCTAATCTCGCGAGGCCAGACGCATAATTACTCGCCTGGGGAGCCTGACGGAAGGGGAACAGGAGCAGTTTCTCCCCTGTCCATCTAGGGTGGGCTGGGAAGGAATTCGCGTGCCTTGCCTCCCTGCTCCAGTCGTACTTACGACCCGTCCTTCCGAGATCTTGCTTTTATTCTGACGTTATCATCGATGTTGCGACCAATAGAGGATGAATACCATTCGCGTTGAATTTGACCCTCGATTCAACAAAGGTGTATTTTTGAGAAAGATCGGATCTCAGAAGCAGGAATGGACTATTACCACTTCGTCTAAATCATTACACGCGGCTCACATTCCTTCCATTCTCGTTTGTGAATCGAGATTCTCTGACCTAGAAGCAGGATCCGTGAGCCTCGGCTTGTAGAGTCTCCAGCTGCTGAGTTCATTCATACAATGCTGGCGTATTTACGCAATGTCGTGGCTCATTTTCCTCGATTCGCCTTCTATACCTCCGAATTATGCGCTCCTGTCACATTGCGCTATTATTTCTCCGCGTCTTGGCGTGACATAAGGCGTCTATACTATCCTTCCAGCTTCAAGGAACAGATCAGCTCTCAAGAAAATCGGATGGTCAACTTGACAGGAGGAATAACAAACAACCGGACAAGGGTTACAAGTTTCCCCGGTTGCAAATCATGATAGTATCTGAGGAAGTCATAGTCGGGATTGGCGTTATGTTCCTAAGTTCGACATTCGGCCGATTAATTATTTCACATGCCACGTCGCATGCTGAAAAGGCATTTCGAGAAGTGAGGCACGAATGTTGGATAAAATATAAAGTCCGGACAAATTTGAAATTCTTATTCCAATATTCAGCAACGCCAGAGTATATGAAGTATGATTGTGCAAGAGAGGCTGTTTAGACTTTGTCGCTACCAACTTCCGGATCACAAAATACGTACTAAATTCCCCAGAGCTAATAGCAGCATAATAATTCCTCCTGAGTCAGTCCGTATATGCCGCAAAGAGATGGGACAGAGACAGGTTCCCCCCAACCCGTCCCGTCCCGTTCCCGAAGTTCTCTACATGGAACTCGTGCGATAGTATTAGGTGCACGATGTGACTCGAGAATAACGACCCTTTAATTGCAGGTCCTCATTCATTAGAGAGCAATAAAACCCTTGACGGTTTTTCACCTAACCGGTTTTCCCTTTCCCAAGGTTTTTCTTTGTTGGAGCCCCTAAAAAGGTGTGATCCATTTCTACTTTATAATGGACTTAAATATCAGTATTTTGCACGGTTGGTTTGAATTTTAGCATGCATGTATTTTACATGTACAGGGTGGGCAATAAAAAACGGACATTTTTCAGCGGTGTACTATACTTCACGTACTGTATATATTTTAATGCGGTTTTGCGACATTTGAAAGAGGAATGAATAAGCTTTAAAATTATGTATTAACATTTCAAATATCTTGAGCAGTTTCAGAAATTCAGCTCACACGAACGAGAAACGGAAACTGCGTTGCCGCGTTCTCAGACGGAGACTACTCGGAGACTGCTCGTGACCTTCAGCCGCCGCCTATTCATCCCTGTTCCGCCCTGTGGGAAAATATTTTCATTAGTGTTTATATGACCCCCCGAAATTTGAAACTGTTGATATTTGAAATATTAATACATCGTTTTAAAGCTTATTCATTCCTCAAATTCCGCAAACCTCATTAAAATATCGTATATGCTGTGAGTGCAGTATCGTTGAAAACGATCCGGGTTTTTTGGGCCCATCCTGTAGTGTACTTGATGCCGCCAACTGATCGATAGTAACCCCAGAGGTACAGTGGCTAACGCAGTTCCGATTATTCTAAGCATCGATCGAGACAGTATGAGTTGCTGGGACTGAGCTCATGTTCGTTTTGGTTCGTCTTGGTCACCATCATATGAAGTCCATGTATTGTGGTGAGATGAGCGATAGATTCTAATGCCTTCCGAATTGCCGGGCTCAGTCCCTTTGACGTGAACACGTGACTATCGAGAACTCACCTCAAATATATATATGCCGAAAAATCACCTGTGAAGGGAAGCAACCCTCTCCTTTTCATCGTGAATCCCTGCATAGGTTGTAACTACAAATTATTTTTTTTATTTATTGGAGGTGAAAGAAATACATAATGTTTATCGACAAAACAGAATGATACGATCACGATTGCCTTGAGGAAAAATCCACATTGCATGTTTGTGACTTAGGAATCTGACAATCTACTCCTATATACTTTGAAGGGTTTTTCTAAAGCTAATTTCGAAAACAAAGTTGACCGGTTAGTAAGTGTTTTCCAGCTGAAAATAAGACCCTTTAGTATCTAAATGCTCTTAATGAAAGACACCAGTACTTGCGGCACTACGATCGCAAGGGGCCAGTTTTCTGGTTTTACCAGCTAGTATTCCATGTGTAATAACCGCCTCAAGACGGGAATGGCATATATATTTGAAATATATATTGGTTCAGATTTCCTACTAATACGAAAGCAAAGTTTTCTTTTTCATTCTTCTCTAAGTGAGAAGAAATAGGGGAAGTGCCAGAGAAAAAATGCATAATTTAGTCAAAGTCAAAGGGCATAAACTTGGACTCGTAAGACTAATACTTATATAATTCGTCAGTTTCTCTGCTTTCGAGAAAAAAAAATTAAAGAAAAACCTGAATGAGGTGAAATATTTCATGAGGACGAGATGACAGTCGACATTGAACCAGTCGAACAGGGGGGGGTATGCATTTATATGACACGAATGTTTCGTTTCGGGATGTTATCATCTGCCCACGCCCTGTCCTCTGATAACATTAATTCTGTCCAATTAACGGTTATATCCAATGGGAAATCACGATGGATCTCCCTTCCCTTGGTATTCCCCGTTCACATTTGGGTGTTATCAATTTCTTCGTACGGTTAATCAAAAATTATTCCCGTAGAGTTGATATACCTTCGGAATATTCTTGTCGTCGAGACGGAAGTGAAACCCTTGGTTTCATGGTAATTTCTTGGAATGTCATCTTCAATTAAATATCAGCGATGAAATCACTTCCCAATCAATTCGTTGCTGTACTAAAGTTCTTTCTCCTGTGATCTAGTCAATAATACGGTTTCAATGGGTATATAAAATGTACGCGTTATTTAAGGTTTTTATTGTGAGTAGAATTAAGGTAAGCGATGCGTCGAAGATTTATATTTATCTCTTGCTGTTGACAGAAACTGCCATGCTGTCGCCATCTCTCTGATATTCAGGTGCAATCTAGGAATCTCAAGCTTAGTTAACGGTGAAGCCTTATTTTATATTCGATCAAATATCGCAAATACGAGGTTATACAACGGTTTAGGCTTGTTACGTCGTCGCAAGTAGCACAGCTCACATCAACCAACGATGTCTCCTTAAGAAGGAGTAGAAATTCGTCAAGCATGTCCTCTGAAAAGCCTAGCAACCTACCATAATCTCATTCAGACATACGCATTGACCATGATTTGAAAATATAACATCCTGATACTTAGGACAATGATTATGTAGGATTCGCCGTCGCCGTCGCCGTGGCTCAATGCATAGTCTAAAGCTAGCATGCGGGAGATTGAGGTTCGAATCCGAGCAGATTCGAATCTCTTGGGGCCGACTGCTTACCTGGCTGATTTTTGTTATTACCCCGGTATTCCCTATTCTCTGCCACGTCAGCCCCGTAATCCCGATGTGCAGTGACGGAAGAGCATCGATGGCATCCAAGTTGTCTTCCCCTAGGGCTCGTGAGAATGGGATGCAATGTGACAACGTGTGGGAAGGTAATGAGGCAATGTCACGAGGATCTCCGATAAGAATCAGCCCCTCCTGTACCGGGTATTCAGCCGCTTGTAGCATTTGTCCTTGTCTGCGTGTGTCCGTCTCAGTCTAAGATTTTTCACTTTAAATTTGGCCTGTTTTCATTAGTCACGGTCTTGCTTGGTTTGAATTAAAAAAAAAAAGGAAATTGGATCAGAAAAAGAAGAGTATAGGAAGAATCCAAAAATAATTAATATTCTTTGCAAGCTAACTGCAATCTTGGCACACCTTCGACGTATCAGATATGGTAAGGAAAAATTTTCTGTATCATTCGAGCCGATACCAGAACAATCTTAGTACACCTCTGGCCATCATCATAACTATTCCCTAGACTCCATAAATAACAAATCTCGGAGCATCTTTCCCTTTGATCTTTACTAGAAAAGAGTGACCAACCAGTCGACCTTTGGATCCTTCTTAATTTCATATCAAGGAAGTGGTAATTGGCCTTCACTCATCCAGACGGAAAAAAAGGAGTGACATCCATCACGTCGACCCTCAAGTTATTCATATCTCGTTCCGAAAATGCTAATGCTGAAAAACATCATATGTCTCTACCATTGCAAATAGAAACTCATGGAACTTGAAGTATGCACATGTTTAGATATTTGAATCAATAATAAATTATAATTGTACATTGAACTTCTGGTTATTTTCCCGAAACAAATAACAGTTATGAATCAGTGCACTCCTAAAAGTCCATTGCTCGCCTCTAATGAGAAGTTTCACGTAGTGGATGCCACGAGAGATGACTGTTTGTTTTCTCGCTCGATCCACTGGTCCAGCCGCTCGACTATCAAAGGTGATAAATGATTATTTCCATCGGAGGACGATATGTTATCAGATGCAGTGTTTCGATTTTATCTCATTTATATTAAATGAGATAAACCAGACGTACCCAGGCTAGTCTCATTAATTACAAGTACCGGCAATATTTAAACAACACGAATACATCTGGATGGGAATCCAAGTATTTGAACACTGCGTGTTGGCTCTGTCCTCTGCTGTTATCTCTCGTGGCATCGACTTTAGTCCTTGTGAAAGACGAGATGAGGTTGTATAGCCTCATCCCTTAGCACTTCCGCATCCAGGTCATTTATCGCATAAAAGCGTGCGTCATTACCAAGGGTTTTCCCGGCGATTTATATTTCTTGGCGCGGTTCAAATGAATATAATGATGTTGGTGTGGTAAGTAAAGGGATTAGTATGCAAAGAAAACTAAGAAACTCTTCGACCTCGGTGGGATGTGTTGTCCCTGCATAAGCCTTAATGAGATATCGTGGGCGTGGATGCGAAAAGAATAAACCCAAGGCCTTTTTAAAAATTAATTACTCCTCAGAATGGATGAGCATGCGTTATCGATCATATGTATGTAATCAGAGGGGTGTAGCGTTCATCGGTGTCATATGGAAAATCTTTCAGTGCCACACTGAATTTGGAAACTAGACAGAGTGTGGTAAGTTTTGGGAGTGACATTACTTTAGAGTAGTTCTGTACCGATGTATCGACAGCCAGTGCTACACCATCGAGAAACGGTAGAGTTGCAAGCTGCCGATGCTGATACTGGCAGGAGTGTCTTTCGGTGAGACAGGTCGGCGCCAAGCGGCGTTCCCAAAGCAAAACAAAACAAAAATGACGGAATGCGGCCAGGGGCCGGCCTGTCCCACTGAAAGCCACTCCTGCCGGTCTCTCCCAGACAAAAAATATCCATAGGATTATATTTCAGCTCGTTTGTAGGAACCGGAGGTGGAAAATGGAGATAAAGAAGGGAAATCATTGCACCTACATTTTTGTTATGCTTTTACGAGAGATGTGTCGTTACACGCTCTCCACAGCAGCAACAGGTAATAAGCTAACCACTGACGGACTCAGACAGACAGACAGGCTTGACAGGACTAAAATCTGTCTCTAACGTTTTAAGGAGGCCCGCGGACACATTTCAAGTAGGCCAAATAGGCCTATTTGAATTATGAATAATATGCGATTTCATGTCAATTTCTTCTCAATCTACAGACCACAATCGGCACCGGCCGATGGGCATGAGATGAAAATCGGTCATCTGCCCACCGGCCAAATGTGGCCATCGAAACAGCTTCAGCCTGTAAAGTATCAGAATAAGTTGCTTAGGAATATCGTATATTGTTGAAAATATATGGTACACAGCATATCTCCAAACGAAACGGATAGAAACTTTTGGGAAAAGGTGAGGAACGCTCTATGAAAGAAAAACAATATATGAACTACATGTATTCACATATACATACCAGGTGTCCCAAAATTGACTTAACATATGGGATCTCGTGTCCGGGCCGCACTGATCTAGGCCTCCGCTACCTTAGCCTAACGCGCGCGGCCTACAAGACTGCCTTCCTAGGCCAGAGGCTTGGCGGAAGAAGCTCTGCTCATTCAATTCTGGAGCGCCCTTGTGCCGCGATCAATTCCAGGGCGCGTTAGAAGTAATCAGGCTGGGATTCCAATTAATTCGTGGCTGCTTATTACTCATATTTCTGGGAGTGGCAGAAGTCACGATTGATGAATCAATCAATGAGTCAAGGTTGAACTCATTGACACTTGTTGATGTGCGCCCTTCACAAGAAATAGAGGACCGTTAATAACATCCAAGGAAATTTCCCAAAATAGCGAGCAACCGGTTACTATTGCTCACCTCTTTAGTCACTTTATTCTTTTGGTAACAGGTAGACGCAGAGGGGCTAGCTTGCCTTGAATGAGAACTAGCAATCAGCCAATGAAATTCGAGAGTGCATTCGGATACATAGGACTCCATCGTCGGGCGATGTCAGTACAAAGAATCCTTCATCGATTCCGGGAAATACCAAAGCGTCCCAATTGAGGTCTTCTACTCATTTACTTTCTTTTCATCAACATGCTCCGCTGAACTCTAGTTCTCCCACTCCATCGTGTGCCACTCGTCCTCTCTTGGATTACGCGTAACTTTGAGTATGAGGCATATCGAAATCCCGTTGCGAGCGACCGTTGAGAAATCGACATGCACCGATGATTGAAACAGCTGTCTCTCCCAGGGGACATTCGTGGGCGAGTTCCCATGTAACCTTCTGGAACGTGCCACGCAATTATTGGTTCGGCACGTGCATGAGGCCTAATATGGAACCGACTTCAATCAGAGTCATGTTTACATGTAAGGAATCGAAACATCCATCACGGGATCGTTAAATTCGCCCACACGCACAACCTGTTTGCTTACAAGATGCATACTTGAATATTTTAATTTACATCTTTGGATTCTCATTGATGCGGCTATACTTCAAAGTTTTTATACGCAATACGTGACGTGGTTGTGATCCGACTTCATAAATCGTAAGAGTATTTCAAAACGAAGTTTTCAGACGAATAAAAGAAATTGAGAAAACATTACCATTTTACGGTGCACTTCCACCATTTTATTACGAACTAAGATGAAACTGAAACTCGCTTCGTAACTAGAAGTAGTAGGAATGTTTTGCTATTTCTGGTATCTTTTCTTACCAGCTGAGGACTTCACACACAGTAAATGTTTGATGTTTATAAAGTAATTAGCTAAAGGAAACATTTTCGGCGATGTTCGCATTGTCACTCAATGATAAGGGTCGAAATGTGTGGTTTCTAGAAAATGTGTCAAAACTGCACGAAATCAGCTTTTTTTCAAACGCAAAATGATTTTGTCTGGTACAAATTAGTCATATTTTATATACAAGAGAATTTTAAGATACGTAACTACAAGCAAAGAAGGCCTCAAGAACACCCTGCGAGAACATAAAATTCAACTGAATTCACCTGGAAATAGATTTAGTCCATGTAAACTCTGGGAAACTTACATTCGCATGAGGAATTTACAGACTGAAATTCTTGAGAAATCTGCTTTTTTCAGCCCTTTCATTTTATGACGATGATGGTGCGAGTTTGCAGGGGCACGAAAACACAAGTTCGAGGACATAAAAATCAGATAGGGAAAACTACTGATATGGCTCTGTTCACTGCCTGCCTAACGAATTACAATATTTATGGATTACAATCCTCCACTTCGTTTAGATGAATGCGATACGGCAGATGCGCGATACGGTGGATGCGGACTGGGGAAAATGTCAATTTTCCTCTTTCAAGGCTTCTGCTTTTTTTCAGATACCTGGATATCGTCTGGACCTGATCTTCTGATTTATTTCAATCCTTATCGCGTCTTTCCGTGTCACATGATCAATTTACCAAAACTTGTTATACCTGTTTCCCAGGCAATTTCTCTCGTACTTCGGAAAGTTTTCCTTGCCAATATTTGGAAAATAGCGAAATAAACTGCAAATAGACTGTTCGCGTATGGGCGATTTTTGCATCAGTACTTTTATCATCATTGCAGCGATGCAATAAATGGTTTTTCCAGAGAGTGAAATCCACAATGCAAAAGAATCTCCTTTCCCATGGATATATCAATGCTTTCTTTCCGTTGTATCATTCTGAAAATTGTGGAAATGTCTGAGGCATCTCCTGCATAATCTCGGTGATATTTATGTATATTGCTTGAAAGTACATTGACGGTTGCCTGAAAATAATTTTAAAAATTGCCTATACAACCTACTTTTAAATACCGTTCTTCTGGTTATTCGTAATTGCAAGTACCGCATTTGTCATTAGCTTCCGACTCATTTCCGGGAGGGAACGCCCAGGTAGAAGCTGTGCGACTGGTCTGAGCAACTTTTCCCTTGTTTTATTATCTTGGTCTGCCAAATGCATCTGATTATTTAAATGTTGCAGAACGTGATTAGAATTCCTTTGCTCTTTCCGTCCATTCGTCACATTAACTTCACAAAGAACCGGATACCTGAAAATATTTTTTCTGTTTTGGACGAGATCCAGTATCTCATGAAAAAAGTCACTCTTTAACCCTTTCACTGTGGAGTTTTCAATGACCCCCAGCGCTGTTTCATTTTTTTTTAAGCCTTCCAGATGTAAAACGAATACGACTTTTAGGGATTAAATATAAAAGTAATTGAAAGGGTATTATAGGGACCCGCACTGGGGATGTGAAATTTGAAAACGAGTATAATCGAGGGTCGCGGAAAAGGGGTTAAAGTCATTGTAACATCGAAATTGGAATTGCAGTCTCTCTTTTGCATGGATGAAAGTCCAAAATCCGTTGTGATTGGGAAGTTCCCCCTTGAGCGCATTACGGTTTCCCTTCACGGTGGAGCCCTTTTATTAACCTTACATTTTTGCAAATACACGAAGTAGCCCGGTAGAAGTGATTTGCATCATCTTCTATGTCGTGGCAAGAAAATAGTCTGGCTTGAGGATGCCTTTGACACAGGCTCACCTTCAGTCGCCAATTTCATCGAGAGTCTGATAAACAGGGTGGTTAAAATAAAGTACCCGCACGATGTCATCTGGTCAACTTTCGAAGGGTCAATCGAATCCACCTGAAAGGTGGATTCAAAACGAAGGTTGCTGGGCCTCTAAGTTTTCTACTTTCTCCGCCAGGTGGCATTGTGATCGTATATGCAAAAAAAAGGGGGAGAACGGATATAAACTCATCACATGAACTCGTCATAATAAGCGAGGAAAGTGATGCTTCAGATACCAATATATTCACTATCACTCACCCTTGAAACCGTATCATCGATAAAATTCATCTAACTGTTAAAAATGTTACTTCATTATAAATCCAACATTGTGTAGTATGAAACTTTTTTGCTTACGCCATGTATGGGCCTATATGAATTTATAAATTTCTGGGGAACCAATCTTGGTCTGTATCAAAAATGCCTCTATATCCATGACTGCCCAATCGATTCGAGATTTGAAAAAGAATGAAACTGCTAGTTTTAGCTTATGAAAGCCCCAGATTCTTCTCAATCTATTAATAATCTGCATAGCATCTTTTACCTCAATTTAAAATTCTGTTTTATTTTTCAGGTGAGGTACAACTCTTCACGAACTTCTTACTCCCGAAGTCCTCCGAGCACAGAAAGACCATGAAGATAGGCGAGAAACCTTTGGCCGTCTTCACACGGGAAGAGTTGGAGGAGGTGGATAGCCGAGAGGTCGATGACGATACCGACCGCTTTCACGACAATGACGACATGAGATTCGTGACTTTTGGCTTCCGAACTTCTCGGCTCATCGACCGGGAGACCTTGCCAAAAAAACTTATCAAGGTTCTTCAATCCACGGTCAGGAACGGGACTCGATCAGAGAACGTCTTGAATGAAATGGCTGAATTAAATTCTCAAGATGACATCTCTCAAATTCGGGGACTTCTGGACATTATTTCCAATTTCGATGACTCGCATGAAATTTCCAAGCAGGATCTTCTCTCGAAGTTTGGATATTGGCATGAAGGAAACATACTTGAACATCCTCATGAGGGAAACGTACTTGGACATCCTCGTGAAGAAAACGTATTTGGACATCCTCAAGCAAATTTGTCTACTTCGGGAAGGTCCCCTTTCGCGAAGGGAAGATCGATAAAGGAGCCGCCAAGCGAAACGAAGAATCTGAAGGATCTTCCCACCCTGGCATCCACCCTGAGGGCAGAGGGGAGTATGGCAACACTCACCGGCAAAGGAACGGCGCTCGGAATTGTGCCCAATGCGAAAACGGACGTTGCTGGCGGCAAAATGACCACGGGTTCTTTGCAACAACTGGTGGACAACAGACTGGACGCTGGCCAAAATCCCCAGCCCAAGAATACAGCCAAATGGACCTATGTTGATGGACCAAGAGGTAGGACTTTAACCCTGCTGCGAAACAGGAGAAGTAGGTACACGTAATCAGTAATGTAGACGTATTCAATTAAATTTAGAACAAATGTGGGAGAGCATGCATCGATTCTCTCTTTGCATGTAACTACTCATAAGGAAGAATTGAATGCGCAGGAACGCTAGTATTTTAATATGAACTGCCTAGCAAGAGACAATTTATGTATGCAAGTCACGAACTATAATTTTCACTTTACCTCACCTCTCATCTCTCAATCTTGTCACAAAAAGCCATCGAAACGAGAAAGTACGAAGATATGCATGTCTTCGTACAGATTTGATCCATTTTCCATGGAAAACGGATCCAACCTGTCTCGACGATTTTTCCCTAACGGCATAGTTTCTATCTTAACGTAATTTTTCATAGATAATGACGTGAGGAAGCAAGAAGCTGAAGAGGGACAGCGAGAGTTAAACAATCCCAGCGACGCGAGCGGTAGCTTCTCAGTGTCAATTCAGGCTTCATGCTTTCAAACAGTTCGCGCAAATGCAGCCCAACGAAGCGGTTTTCCAGATCATGTCAAGACTTGTACTGGATAAATGGATTTCTGAGGAGCTTTCCCGCATTGTAGTCTCCAACGATTTCCTCGCACGGAAGCAATTATGATAGATTGTGGGTAACTGGTCTGACGAGTTGCAATGCATCCAAATATTTCAAATGTATAGATTCAAGGTTTGGAAGAGAGAAGTTATAGCTCTCCAAGAAGTATTTTGCCTAATAAGACAATAAACATTCACCCGATAATTTTTCAATACTGGGAGGAATGCAATACATTTATTTATGGCACGTAACGCAGGGAATTATCAAATCCAAGCTCTTCCTTTTCACCTTCTCGGATACACTGCTGGAATACACTGAAGACGATTCGAAACTCTGTATGTTAGACATTAGTATCTACCTTGACATGCAGTCGACATGGTTTAACAGGGCCGGCGAACTGGTGGAAGTTCTACCGCAACTGCAACGGGAGGCAGCAGTCTCCGATCGGGATCATCACGGACAAGGCCGTCGAGACGGAGTTCCAACCCTTCCAAATCCGTCTCTATGAAACCCTACCCTCTGCTGTGTCCATCCAGAATAGCGGTCATACAGGTGAGACTTCGGTAATTATTCATTCTGCGTCTTAGAGGAAGTTCCAAGGGGCACACATCAATATTGACTAGCTGACCCGTGGAAGACTTCCACGAACTTCGGGTCGGCCTAGGCTAAGCGTGTAGCACTGTCGGCACGTCCCCGCGGGAGAATCCGTATCGATTTAGTGTCAGATTCCTACAGTGTCAGATTCGCGACATAACTTTCTTGCACGATTTCCCGTGCCACAGGCTCGCTTCGCCACCCTGTTTCCTACACACCATGCCCTTTATTCCTAGCTGTCCCACCCCAAAAACGCGTTTCTGCGCAGATCTGAGAGGGGTCTCTCGGATTCCCCTTGCATACAAAGCCTCTCCCGTCCTTGAGAACGAATCCGACATCCACGACGGCCGGAAAGAAAGTGCGGGCTCGAGATCGAGAGACGCACCTCCTAATTCCGGGTGTCTACGGCCGTGCGATGAGCAGATCGGGTGCGGACATACGCCCTAGCATATTTATTAGGGTTGGGTTTCAAACAAGACGCTTGACAAGGTCTTCAATTTCGTTTCTTGCCATGTCTTGATATGCTGTCCTCTGTCCTTAACGCCCAGTCAAGTGTCGATAAGCTTTTGAATAATTTGTTGTTTTTTTTTAAATAAGTTTTTCTCCCCTCATTTTACCTGGTTGTGACATCGTTTCCATCTTGACAAGATCTTGCTTTTTTCTTGCTAAGATTTTTTTCTTATCAATCCCAACCCTAATCGAAAAAGAAGCATTCGAAATTAATTTGCAGGAATCAGGATCCTCCAGAAAATGTTGCACTTAGCTTTTATGCATGATATCAGACTGGGACGTGTCTCGGACTTTTTTTTAAACCTCAATTTTAAACCTCAATTTTACAATTACATGGGAGAAGGGGAAGGAGTTGAAATCCCCCCCCCCAATTCTCCCTTATAATTGAATGGGAGTAATAAAAAAAATACTTGATGCGTCCCTGAAAGATACCAGAAGTCGAGAGTCTTTTCATACACGAAGCGGCCTTTCAATTGAGAACTTTTCTCCATTGTTTCTCCAGTGAAGCTGGTGACGAAGTCGATGGACATGCCAACAGTGAGCGGCGGTGGATTGCCTGGTACTTTCAAGTTCGCTCAGATGCACTTTCACTGGGGCAGTGATATATTCACAGGCTCTGAACACGTTCTCAATCGTCGCAGGTATTTTACATGTCTCTTCCTTTTTTTGTCCTTTCGAAAGATTTTCGCGAAGAGCCACAATGATATATCGATTCTTTGCGAAGTATAATTTCATACAATTCCCATACAATTTCCTACAGTTGTAATTCATGTTCTTGCCCACACAGGACATATACAATTGGCTGCATTTCTTTCATAAGTTCTTTAGGTTCTTCATCCGGAACAGTCTGGTATGTTCGGATTTAAGATTAAGTTCTAAAAAAAAACTTGATTTAAGACCTGCTTCTAGTTCTGCCACCGAAACTGAGTTCGTACTATTAAAAAAGAAGTTAACGAATTCCGACACAGTATGAACTCTTTAACTTCCAGGGGAGTGCCTTACGTTTTGAGTTCTTAGTTGTGCCAAAAGTACCAATGGAGTGTTAATTACTGGCCCAATCCGAGCTAATTAAACATATCTAGACTCGACTGAGTGCCATGGTGTACCTGTATTGTGGATGGTATTTATAAAATGAAAGTCTTCAGAGCTGAGAGTAATGAAAATTAGTTGACATTGAATGGTCCACCTGCTGTTCTAGAGGTATCGATTAACTCTGAACATGTCTTGCCTGGATCTTCTTTCTAGTCGGAAGTCAGTACAATAGCTGGCAGTATAGAGTAGAATGCAGTGCAGTACTGAGTTAATCCGAAGAAACCAGGTAAACTGGATGTCACCTCAGCACGAGCGTGCGCATTCAGGAATTCCTCGATCTTAGCGAGTACTTGGAATACAAATTCCAACAGATTCCCGAGAACAAAAACTATTGAACCGGTTGCGACACGTGATGTACCCATGTCCTCGCCGTATCCCTGAAGTGTTATTAATACGTTCAGCCGCGGTGATTTAAATTTGCTATGGTTTATACCCGTCAGATGTGAGGTACGAGGTACTGTTTTAGAGCGGGATCCAAACCACAGGTGCATATATAGGCACTAATGCGCAGCAGGAACTTCCATCTTCTTTTGAATGCTAAGACAGCTTACTCGCAGTTTAAAGTATACTATGAGATGACAGTCGCAGTTTATCAAGCGATACTTACTTTGCTCATGCCATGTTGACAGATTCCCCATGGAATTGCACGTGGTCCATCGGAATATCAAGTATCCGACGACTGAAGAGGCTGTCCTGAAACCCGACGGCCTGGCAGTGTTCGGCATCTTCTTTGGAGTGAGTTCTAGTTAATTCTTCATAGGAGAGATACTTGAGAAGTGCGAATAGAAACGAAAAGCATCCGACAGTCAGGGGACTTTGAGATTTTATGCAACCTATTAACGGAAAAAGTTTATAATTTACGACATTCCAGAAAGGGGCAGTCGTGCAATCTTGGAATAAAGATGGCTGTGGAAGTTATTTAGCTGTCATGTAATATCATAGAATATTACGTTTTCTGTGCTATTTTCCTCTTTATTATACGAAGACCTTTCAAAAATTGTTCTGCTGGGACACGCATTCCTTCCACCCTAAGGTGACATTATTCCCCTTAAACTTTGTCATCTTGTGTGTCTATGCGCTTCTTCCAGCGGGTGTGAAGTTGCCGCGCGTGGGTCTTTAGCACGTTCTAATGGTATGCAGCTCACTTGTCATGGGACTCATGATTGAGTCCCGATCGGAAAGTCTGCGTCTCTTCTACACGAAATTGAGCCGCGAGAAGAGGAAACAGTCACAGGGTGCCAAGTCCAGTGAATAGGGTAGATGATTTATTGTGGTGATTAAGTGGCATGCAAAAAGTTGACTTGAAAGTTGACTTTGTAGACTTGCCTACAGTTCGATACAAAAACTGTGAAACTCTTTGCCAATGTTTAATTGTGTCTCGTTGTGATACCTACAGCAGACAAAACAAGACACAATTGAACATTGGCTTATGGTTCTTGAATGTGGAGAAATGAGGGCAATGCGATTTCGTCACATCGTTGCGTCTTGAATCCCACTGGCAGGTTTTGCAATATGGAAAAGTATTCATAATCGACATTAATAGACGTCAAGGATGTATTATTTATATTAATCTTGTAAATGTTGACACTTAGGTACTGATATTTTATCAGTGCGACCGGATTGGAAATAAATTGATGCAGATGCGAAGCAATCAGCCTCGAATGCAAATTACATTCATGATTAGAATGCAAGGCATGGTTTTGATACTTCATCATAATACTTCAACGTTTATGAGATTGATGCGAAGTCCAGGCAAGTCTCGCGTGTAAAACAAACTAACGCATGCCTACCCGAACCATAAAAGGCCTCATCTTTTCGTTGCCATGTTTTGGTCATATTCTGATCATATTTTTATGTGGGTGTCGAAGAGTCTGTCTTTCGTTGGGCTATTCGGTATTCCACTTGAGAGTTCATCCACATTATTTTCGTTGTATTTGCAAAAAAGTTCATTTACAATGGAAACCTTGCTTTCCTATTCTTTCCCAAAGCAACTCTCGAAATGCACCATGAGCAAACCGTTGTTCTTGGTCTAAAAAGATGTCACATGATACCTTAATGTGAAACATTTTCACGGTCAATGTAGTGAAACTGCATTATAAGGTATATTCGGTGATGTTGCGCCGTATATTGGCCTATGGAAAAGTATGAAAGTATTCCATTAGAACCTGTTGGATCGCTAATAGCATGCCATCGTAGGCATTACTGTAGTCGCAGAGGGTGAAAAAAGGAGAATATCTGTTAATGCGCATTCCAATTACGTGGAGGTAGCCTCTCATTAATTTTAAAAAAAGAAAGGCTTTCCAGATTATGGGAATTTTTTTCTTCCAAGACCTAACTTTATTCCGGGCTCGAATGGAATGCATGTAGTTCTATGACACGGATTTCTTCTAATATAGGCGGCCAAGACGAGAAGACAGGTCGGCGACCTTGATCACAGACGGACTCCGATAATGAACTTGATCCAGCCTGTCTCGCGTCGTCTTCTTTCTTTCCCTTATTCCGTTTCGAATAAATACAGTCCAAGCCAGTCAAGGATTCCTCAAAATCCTCCTTTTTAGAGGACCTTGAGTCACTTGTTCTCGGGAGTCTGTACGTGCGCTGCATTCCTTCATCCTCTCGCCCACATCACGAGTCGTGGTCGTGGCTTCCTTCTCTTTCCGGGAACGTATCCTAACCTCTTCTGTTTTCCTTCTAATTTTTGAGAGAATAAGTACCTTTAATGCACATTGCTTATCACAATTGCATTTTATACAAAGCTACACATACACCATAGAATATGTATGCTACAAGAGTCGACTGGCCCCCAAGGATCTCGCCGCAATGTTTTTCTTTTTGTATGTAGGAGAACATCGTAAAAGGGACTCTTACTCGTCATCGTCTCCGAAGGATTTTCAATATTGAGAGAGAATTATGTATTTAGTGCGGCAATAAAAACCTTCGTCATCTCGCATACCTTCCAGGTCCCTTATACGTGACTTTTTGCCGAGATAATTGGGGTAGTTCTTTTAGGCTTAAAGAGGGAGCATCGAAACGTTCTAATTTGGTACCATAAATAGTGCCGTTCCTGCGGTCATTCGGCACCGTTGGTTTGAATTGTGTCTACAAGCTGTGGTTACTTTATATAATAGTTGCAAGCAGAGGACAACCCAGCATTGGAAGAAATCGTGGAGGCGCTTCCCCGAGTCCAAGAACCATTCACCAAGACCCATCTGCACCCTTTCCCCATCTCTCAACTGCTTCCATCCGACCTCCACGCTTTCTACCGCTACAACGGCTCGCTCACGACTCCAGGTTGCCAGGAGGCCGTCACGTGGACTGTGTTCGACGAACTCATGGGTATTTCCATCCGCCAGGTAAGATCATTTCGACTGCCTCGAAGTTCTTCCTAAACAAAGTAATACAAGTATCTTCTGAGGTGCTGACATCGTAACGCACGAAGATAGAATGGGTAAACATTTCGAACTTTCCGAGATAACCGGAAATCGGTATTATGATCCTTGGTAGCTTTATGCACCAAGGTGGTTCAAAAGTCCAGATATGATTTCCTATTTTATTACATCAACCTCTAAACTCGACTGCACTGGATACCACACTATCGCAATACATAGTCTAAAAGTTATGGAAATGCAGATAGATACCTTATAGCACCTTTCACTTGGCCACGTTCAGATATCTTATCAATAATTTTTCTTAAATCTCATGCGAGCGGAAATTCCTTGCCGATTTCGTGTGGAAGGGATCTGAATCGAGGTCCTGATCCTCGCCACACCCATCGGACATTTTAGATGTGACATTTAAAAAAGCGTCTAGTAGCACTGTGCACTGTGTTGTCAGTTTTGCATGCCTAGTAACCGCCATCATCTGCATTTTTATGTTCATTGTGGGACTAAGGCCTCCCCAGGCTGCAAAAATTTTCCCCCATGTTTATCAGAAAAATTCATTGCTATTGTCTTTTAGGATAACTTCATTGGAATTGGTTTTATGCTTGTGTGACATTTCGAACTTGTGTATATTGTTTAGGGATTGGATTCTACTTTGTAGTTCGTCTACTCCATGGATTCAGGGAGGGCTCAAAAATGCAAAGATCAGGAAATCTACCGCAATAATTCCATAAAATTTCCATCATCGCTCTAGTTTAAGAATCTGTATTACTCCTGCGATAGAAAGTTTTTTCCCCGGGAAATTCTTTAATCTATTTCGCTAAGATCTGGAACATTTCCTGAGAAAATCAGATGATTATCACTGAGACCTTCTCTGGTCCCGTTCACCTTGCATTTTCACTTTCTCGGAAAGCATTTCGTTCTCATTAATTTTGCTCGCGTGGAAAATACTCGAAATGCTTACTTACCAGAGACACCAACCATGCCAAAAGCTGAATTATTAATACTTTAATAATCTGGAATAGATGCACGGTGAATAAACTCATTGATACAGCACTATTTTCGGCGAAAGCTGATCCTTTTGTGTTACTTGCGTTCGCTTCCAAGAGTAGCACGGAAGGCACCGATGGAGACAAAGACAATTTTCATGATGAATCCTCCACGATAGATGCAAGTCGGTGGAATCAGATCGGGATGTCCTCGTCATGGCGCAATTCTGGTTCAAAAGGGGAAAAATTAAAAAGTTTCTCACTTCGAGGATCCACTCGAAGATGACTCATTTTGGGCTCTCTCAGAAGATTCCTTCGAAATGCAAAGGCGCTGGAATTCGTGTTATCACGAGCTCCATCGTTTAAAACGTGTCGACATCTTGATTTTCGATAAGCAACTATATTTATAATTAAAAAAGCATTAAGTTTCACAGTATTGGTATAGGACGTGAGATGAGACAAGGATGGAGCACGGCGTACCTTTTCCTTTCTCAGCGACGTTCCTTGCGATGCATCTTAACTCTCTCTCGACTTGAGGCTCGTTCAGTACTTCAAGTTTCTCTTATTGGGCAGAAAAAAGGAAAACAGTCATAGGCAAATTTATTCCCCAAGTTAGCCCTATGGTCAAGATTATGAACCTGATGATCATTTTTCATTAATTCTAGGCTGAGACAGACATGCTATGCAACGAGAGTTAAGAAAAAAAACCTTCTCACCTCACTCCCTCTAGTTTGATGATTGCAATTGTTAGCGGAGTATTGCTCTTCTGGAGTCTGAGAAACTCAGCCTTGACTGAACTTCAAGGACAATAAGTGGAAGCTTCAGATGATCTGGAGAGGCGCACGGCATGGTCGAGAAGGAACTGGTTTTATTTTTTTTTTACTGGGAAATGCTCAGGAATTCGCCTGAGGCAGTCGTCAAAAGTTCTACCCAAGTTCATAACGCATTCGCTGCTTCACCGCTAATCCCCTTGGCATATCTTCCTTTGGAATGTGGTAAAATAAATTTCGTAATTTTTTCGAGAGGTGCAAGATCATCGTGACATGTGGAAATGGCCTGCAATATACTTGCAATGGGTACTTGTACGTATATTGGCTGCAATGGGTACTTGGAAATACACGTGGGAAGAATCCTTGGAGGATGACGTCGTCATGCAAATCTTGCGTTCGTCGCTTACCTCAATGCGTTGGAACCGTAAATTTCTGATGAAACACGTTCACGGGATTTTCCGAGATCACAATCAGTTGATTGATGCAATAATTGTTATCTCGAGTACCATACCATTTCGCTTCAAGGAAATTTTGGAAGGGGTACTTATCTTTCTTCCAGACACATACATCATCCTCATGTTCTAAACACACGTTGAGCACGACTGTTTCAGAGAATAGAAGGCGAAGCGCCTACTGTAGATCCTAATTGTGATTTCAAACAAAGTTTTGTAGGTTTCTGAATCACGTTGAAGCTATACAAGGCTACATGTCTCTGAAGACGTGGGAGAGTTCGTTACCCGAGTACACGAGTCAGCACTTGCCCATTGGAAACATCGAAAGAACGAAAGAGTCAATAGCGCGTTAAGATGATGTATGCTTCATGATGACGTCATCAGTCGCTTCTGTTTCCTTCTTGCAGTGACTCCACAGTTTTATTTGCGAAATTCTATGGAATATACATGTATCCTTCGAATTTCAATTTGGAGTTCAGTGATTTCTACTGATCGTTTATAATTCCGTTCCCCTCTAACTGGTCGCATTTCCCTCTTTCAGTTGCAGGTCTTCCGAACCCTGAAAGACTCCGACACCACCGGGAAGCAACTGATGAACTTCAGACCCGTCCAGTCGCTCCACGAACGACAGATCCTGAGAACTGCAGGAGCAGGCGGCTACGGCAGCCTCTTTTCTCCCTTCGCCGACATCAAAGGATTCATGACCCCTTCTGTGAGAAAACGAGCTCAGCTGATTCGACCCCTCATCAAACGTGCCATCGGGATGTCTTCGCTGGCCTCCAGCACTCGCTTGCCCAACGGAGGGTTCAGCATATTCACACCGGGCTACGCGTACGTGTCAACCCCGACGGGGAAATAGTCCGTAGAGCTGCAACCCTACAGGGCTACGAGTCTACAGGACTGCCATTCTGCAGATACAAAGTTTACACACATGCATTCCGGTGTACTTCACCCGAACATTTGTGATACAAAATTTCGGGCATTCTTCCATGTCTGAATGGGCATTAATTAACTTTTCTCATGTGCAAGCGGGAGTCCAGTCATCAATCGTGAAAAATGTTGAAGAATGATCAGTCATAAAGATTCCCAGATTTACCAATTTTGCATTTCATACGAGACGTGAAGCTCAAATTTTCATTAGTAAGGTTTTCTTCACTGTGATTTCCAATCTTCCAGACATTCGAGTGGGAAAATTGGTTGATCGAGGAGTGCTTATCACCATATCCATTTAGGCTAATTTCGGAATCTCATTCGATTCCTGTAATCAATGTTACCAGTGAATAATGAGTTGTGCATCGCCTACTCTGTGAGCTTGGAATGATGCGTTACCGGCAATTTGAGTCTCGTCTTCAGTATTACGGTTCCTTTCGCAGTTCCTTTTCATCCCATTCTCTTTTGCATTATGCTCTGAATTTCAAGAAATGCATCGGTTGCGAGGAAAAAAATTACTGAATAAAATGTAAAGACGGCACAAGATGAGGTGAGGTTCGTGTGAGCTGTTTTCCTGTCTCCTTTGAGAAACATTCGCCTGAAATACATTCCTTTTTCTGCTGAATTGTTTTTCATTGTTCAGGAGAGCATATATGCGAAATTGCAGGTGTGTACACATCACATCATGAATTTGAGGTCTATTGTAGAAGCCCGAAAAGGATTGCAGAATGGGATACTTGATCCCTCTTTCCCACCTTCAGGATTCTGCACGTGGGAAGATAGCGATACCCTCCTATGGGGAAGGAGAATGTGAGAAACAGAAAGGCGTCATCCTCTGGGAAATCAATGTTTCCAGTCTTTTGCCAAACCTATATATACAGTACATGGCTTACCACTCTTCGAGTGGTAACCGGATGCCTCAAGTCGACTCCACTCCCATGGCTCCCAGTGCTCGCGCACATTCCCCCCGCAGAAATCCGGCGAGAAATGGCGACTTTACGCGAGTACAACACGATTATTGCCAACCCGTCCCTCCCGATTCATCGCGACATCGATGAGACCATCCCGTCCCGCCTAAAATCAAGACGTCCTTTCTGGACAGCCGCGAGAATCCTGCACGACCTGGGGTCGTGCACGGAAGAACGCTGGCGAGAAGCCTGGTCTCGCGTGGACGTGAAAAAGAAGAACCACTTTGACGATCCATTAGCCGAGATACCAGGTGTCACACTCCAACGCCACGAATGGGTGACCTTAAATCGCATCCGGACTCTTCATGGTTGTTCCGGACACATGATGCACAAGCGGCGTATTAAACAATCGCCAACGTGCAAATGCGGCACGCCAATCCAAACTATGGAGCACATCATCGAGTGCACATTGTACTCATTTCCCGGCAGCATCAAGGATATACACGCAGCATCACTAAAAACTATCGACTGGATTTCAAAGATTAACATCAATTTGTAATAGTCGCTATACCCATACGAAAGAAGAAGAAGAATTACGTCCCATTGGAATACGTGACATATGGGGACGAAAGCCTTCATGTTTATCAAAATCAGTACTTCTGTTATTTCTAGAGTGCCTAACTTGAAATTTTTTCATGTGTCCCTTTTTGTAAGGGTGGAGAATACATTTTGCAATACTTCCCTCCTATAATCTACGCTCATGAGGCATATTTCAAAAGTAGGATTTTTTCTCGGTAAAACGGCGGTAAAATGTAGGTAAAAGCGGTAGAACATAGGTAAAAGAGTGGTAAAATATAGGTAAAAGAGCTGTAAATGAGAGGGGAACGGTCAAATTTTTTTGTAAGGGAATGCCAAAGGACATAATCCGTAGGAAATAGGCACATAGGCAAATTACGGGGCCTTTAATGGTGGATATTGTGTCTTATATATCGCTTTGTAATTCGAACTTTGAGTCTCATTTGAATACTATGGGACCATGGAACAAGTGGGTCACCCAGTACGAGGTGAACTAAAAAAGGCCATGGCCTTTTTTCATGTGCTGCATTTCTACTAATTGAGATGTTTTCTGAATAAAGGAATGCCCTTTTTCCATATCCGTGTCTACGCGCTACTTTATGTGACTTGTCATAGGAAATGGTGGTCAGTATGTAGTTAATATTCTTATTCAGCAAAGGAGAAGCACCTTTTTCTATGCTTCCACTGTATGGTAAGCCTACTGCCTGACAATTTCAATACGGCTGCCTCCATGGATATCCTAATACCACCTGCATCGCCGAACGATTTTGGCGGAATAGTTCCATTCTTTCGAACTAAAGTGAGAATGAGGAAGACACAAGGCCGAGGGAGGGGGATGTGGAAGAATGAGTCACCAAAGTTTTTGGTAGGGTGCGAGACGTTGTTAATATCCATGATAAAGGAGGATGCCAAAAACCGCCCCCGCGTTACAAACCATCACAGGAGTCGATCGATAGATCTTCATGAGTGGATGAAAGTTGTCAATGGGCATACATCTGTCAGAGAGTGCGATCATTGGTCATCAAAGTTCAAAACTTCGGTCGCTCTAATTCTTTTGCAACGCTTACAAATGTACGAATAAAAGTGCTGTTTTAATGGTATGTGCTACTAGGGAGTCGGGTCCTGATACCTAGCAGTTACGCGGTCGCTAGGTGCCATACACTCCTGGTGGCAACGAAACGAAAACCCATCTGGTTTCGTCGTATGGTAGATTGACGTTTTTGACTTTAATTAATTAATTTTCTTAAACTTTACGTTAATCCAGAGTCCAGGCTCTTCCGTATTTTTACATTTTCTTTTTGTTGAGGTATGCACGAATGCTGACAAACCGACTGAGCTCTTTAGCATCCATGCATCGTGGGTTAGAAAGCTGGATATACATTTGATTTTGAACATTGATGACCCTATAACTCAATCATTGCACTGTTTGACAGATCTATGCCCATTGACAACTTTGATCTACTCATCAAGATCTATCGATACCTGTTTTGGTTTGTAACGCGAAGGGCAACGGTCCCATAGACAGCTGGCAACCTCCTTTTTATATTCCGATGATTAATAAATTGATACCGGATCATTAATTTGAAAATGTGTGATTGAGAAGGCCCTGAATATTCAAGTTTGTATTGCCATTCTTTAACGAAGCGTTGATTTTAAATTAGTATATGTATTTACTGGAAAGTCATGCATTTTAATTAGAGAGAAGTGGTAAGTGATATGGAGAAAAGGTGTATAAACGCTTAAAGAGAAATATAGAGAAAGTCATATACGCTTTATGCATGCATCCCTGCAATGTGAGAAAAAGAAATTAGTTAAAATTCCAAGTTCAATACGTAAAAGA